AATCTAATCTAATCTAATCTAATCTAATCTAATCTAATCTAATCTAATCTAATGGCTATAATCAACTTTTTTAGTACAATGATAGACCTTTTTGCAACTTTCAGTAAAATGGATGATTCATCCCAGAGATGAAGCATATTTTGTTAAAGGGATGATGATATCTAGGAGCTGGGGAGCTTGAATAAAATCTTGTATATTCTATTATTTGTTTCATATTCACCCTTACATAGTTTTCAGTGCTGCTGTTTCGGTAGTAGTTCTTTATTATACATAGAAATGCTGTAGAGAAATATATTAGAGGACTAATCTGAGTCTTCATTGGATCCAAATTCCAGTTGTACGATTTCATTTATCTATGGAGTGACTTCAGATAGTTCTCAGTGCTTTTTTAATATTTAGCATAATATTAGTGTTAAAAATGCAGCTTTAAACTAACTTGAGGGTGTAAATGAGCATCGATCACTGATTCTTTTAGGATGTAGGCTGTGTTGAATAACATGTTAGTTTTGAACTCTTGATTTATTAAAACAGAATGACAAGTAGCATACAAACAGAAATATTGCTAATCGCTTTGCATGAATGAGTAAATAAATCTTGAAGCAATTCCTCCACATCAATCACTATCAGAAATCATCTTAAAATATTATGGTATTCATGGTTTAATTCAAGCTTATGCTTAGTTTCCATTCTCCTCTCTGAGGAAGTAAACAGGAATTTTAAAAGCTGTTTTAGAAATATGAATGACCCTGGCCTTTCAAAATTATAAAAGTATTTTTGTTCTTATGTGAGAACTTGTATCTTTAATTCTATATCCCTTTAGTTTCAAAAGTTAACTCACATTTTTGCCTGGCTTTGCATATTCATACAACCCAATGACCATGTTTTATTGTTTCCAAAAGACTGTTGCGACATTCTACTAGTAAATGAATAAATGTGGCTGTTAGACATACATATTAACTTATTTAGATCTTTGCAAACACTGATAAAGGCCCAAAGTACATTATATTACTGTATCAGAAAGTAAAGCAAAAAAGTTCACTTTATCTGTACATTAAATTCTGGGTGTAAGGGTATGTCTCAATCATTAGGTTGCCTACTTTAATAGAAAATAAGGTTACCTGATTGGATTGCAATGCAATGATGTAAATAGAACCTTGTTGAATAACGTGACCCGTTAAAACCGCGCTCGACTAAGCTGTGTTTGATTAAACCGCGTCGCTGACGTCATCAACAGGGCGACAACAGCCAGCGCGGAGAAAGAAGGGCGCTTTAAAAGCGCTTTGAAAGCAAGCCGATTCAACTTAAAGTAAGGGTTAGGTTTAGGGTTAGGTTTAGGGTTAGGTTTAGGGTTAGGGCTTAGGGTTAGGTTAAGGGTTAGGGTTAGGTTAAGGGTTAGGATTAGGTTTAGGGTTAGGTTAAGGGTTAGGTTTAGGGTTAGGTTTAGGGTTAGGTTTAGGGGGGTTAGGTTTAGGTTTAGGGGTTAATTTTAGGTTTAGGGTTTACAGCGTGCTTCTGTCTCCGCGCTGTTGTCGCCCTGTTGATGACGTCAGCGACGCGGTTTAGTCAGGCGTGGTTTAGTCGAGCGCGGTTTTGTGGTGGAACTGTTGAATAATGCTTCCAATAGGTTATCATGAATTGCTCAAACACTTGTTTTTAACCTATAAAGCACTTTATGACTTGCTTCTTAGGTATCTTCAGGATTGCCTTTTTCAGCTGGAGTTAACCTGATCAGTGTGCCTCTCAGGGAAGAAATTCTGAAACTGATTTTTGGTAGCCATCTATGCCCTTTGGCTGTGATGGTGAACCTATGGCATGTGTGCCAGAGGTGACACGCAGAACCCTCTTCTGTGGGCCCACGCCAGCTGCTCTTCCAGGTTCCATAGCTAATACAGCGCGCATGTGCACTGGCCAGTTGCTCTCTTCCAGGTTCTGGTGCTCGGATGCGTGTTAAGTAAGCTCCCCGTTGGGAGAGCGAGTGCGTTCAGAGAAGCGTTGTGAAAGTTGTGTTGGAGAAAACACAAACTAGAATACAGAGACACCGCAGTTTAAATAGGCTTTTACTTTTGTGGAAATAGAGGTATCAGAGTCCATCAAACAGTTCAAGTCATAACGATTAAGACAGTCAGACATTAACGTCTTTCAGTTAAGGGATAATCCAAATAACATAGTCCATAATCATACAAACAGTCCGGTACACAAAGTTTGCTAGCAATTGCAAAACTTACAATAGCTCACGCTGATCACTATACGGCACTTCTAACAGCCAGCTTCCAAAACACTCAGATCAGATCAGCATCTTACAGTGATTCTGACTCCATCTTATGGCCGATTGAGGAAACAGCAACCAATCACATTTACAGCATGATTTAAAGAAACAGGTATCGCATTGTTACATGATTTATATATTGCCAACCTAACCGTTAGATTATATTCCTAACAGCACGCGCACACACACTCCAGTTAGGGTACTCGGTGCTGAAAAGGTTAAGCATCACTGCCCATGGACTAGTCCTGTTAAGTTCATGCAGGTGTTTAGTTATTGGAAGCCCATTTAATACCAAATTGCTTTTAGGTTTTATTATGTGATTACAACAGTATACACATTTCATTTTAAAAAAAAATCCCATTGTAATGGATTGCATGACATGAGTCACACAGTGTAATAAGTGAAATGATGAGGTGAGGAGGCTGAAATAAGATTTCTCATAATTCATCCATGAACTGCTTTTTCTGAAAAAACAACAACAGCCTGGAAACAATGTCCTTTGTAATCAGGGCTGAGAGAATAACCTATGCCTTTTGTTCGCAGGTCTCAACCAAGTTAAACAAGGGACCTGCGAGGTGGTTGCAGTGCATCGGTGTTGCAACAAGAACAGGATTGAAGAGCGGTCACAGACAGTCAAGTGCTCTTGCTTCCCAGGTCAGGTGGCAGGCACAACACACGCACGGCCATCTTGTGTTGAAGGTAAGGATCTTTTACCCTCTTGGCTTCAGAATTCAAAGACTCTCTCCATCTCCTTGACATTGTGAATTCATAATTGATAATAACAAGAATAAATCTCTCTCTTTATTAAAGCTAGGCATATGTTTCTTTGTAATTGTTAATTAATTTATAATTGATTCAGTTAATTAGTTATAGCAGTGCTCCTAACCCAAAAGGTCAATCTCCAAAAATTAAGTATTTGTTCAGGCAATCTTCTGCCAGAATGATTTCTTGTTATGCAATAGATATATTTTTAACTTCTTTTCAAGGAAAAATCTACTTTGAACAAGGCCTAAATTGAACAAAGGCCTTTTGGATAGTTAATCTGGGACTGGCCAACTTGACCCTATTTGATATTTTTTAGCAAAAAAAAAAAATCAGGATAAAGGAATTAGTTAACTATGCAAGAGCAGGTAGCCTCCATCAAACATGGCCATTACCCCTTTCCCCTAATTCCACAAAACCAGAACAGATCTACCATTTTTGTCCACTAAAACTTTTGAAACAGTGTAAAATCTGGACTTTGAAGTGTGAAGAAACACAATAGGATTTCATAGTTGATAAAAGGAATGGAATTACCTGTTTCATTGAATCCTTGAGGGGCAGTGGTTAGAATGCAGTATTGCAGGCAAATTCTGCCCACAGCCTGGAATTCGATCCTGCCAGGGCTCAAGGTTGACTCAGCCTTCCATCCTTCTGAGGTTGGTAAATTGAGGACCAAGATTGTTGGGCGTAATATGCTGACATTGTAAACTTCCCAGAGATGGCTATGGAGCAATATAGAAGTCTAACAGCTAAGTGCTGTTGCTATTCCTTATCCATATTTCACCTTTCTTGTAGGTGACTTATACAAGGTTCTGGCTTTACTTTTATCCCCATGATACCTAAGGAGGAAGATAAGTCAGAGACAGGGCAATTCACGCAGTCGGCCATGGAGTTTCCATGTTTGAAAGAAATTAGGTCCATTATGTACATATAAAGCAAATTAGAATCAGAGACTCAGTGAAGTCAGCAGAAAATGAAGATTGTCTTCTGGTTACCTTCACAAGGCCATGCTAGTAATGAAGAGAGGAATGATGAGACCTGTTTCTATGAGATTAAATTACATGTGGAATGGGCATTTCTGTCTTAGAGCTATTTAAAAAATACTTGCCATTTGAATTACACCCTGGTTTAAAGATAGAGGCACCATATGTGTGAATACCGGTATTGAATTTAGCCATCAACCTTAACCTCAACCTAAGGAGCAAAGTGAATTTGTAGTTACAACTACTTGAGCTGAGCTGAAAGGGATGGATGTTCACTAAACTCTAATTCTCTTTGCTGTTTTCCAAAGGTCATCTTGATTTTTGTCGTTCAGGCTGGGTAGCTCTGATAGTCTCCTGTTTACCGTTGCTTTCCATAATTTGCTTTTGTGTTTAAATGAGAATTTTTCTATATCGATATATATCTTCTGTTTCTTTTCTTCCTCTGAATGTCTCTGGCAATGCATAAGAGCAGCCACCCTCATCTTAGATAGGTGGACATTTTGAAACAATATCTATTATTCGAATTTCTTCAGCAGATATTTATATGACTTCCAATGAAAATGTGAAGGGCTTCCCTTCCTTGAATTAAATGTATATTAAAGGCTGAAATTTAGATCGCTTTAAAGAAAATCAAGAAATTGCTTAATGTGTCACTTTCCTTCCTCTTACTCCCAAACAGCAGAGTGATTAGATTTCTCTCTTCTACTGGATAGTTTTTTGTTGAGCAATAAGAACTATAAATTCTACTTAGTGCTTCTGTCAACAGCAGTGAAATATCCTAAGATACAAAATGTTAAGAGATTTATATTTAAATGAAAGCAAAACAGTACGTTATTTAATAGCTTCCTGCTAATTAATATTGACATAGAAAGTATATTTATTAAGCTATGTAGAAGATACTTAACTTCTCTTTTCATTGCTTTCCAAACAAAACCATATCCTTATAAAATGAATTAGCAATAACACAGAACTTCATTGTTTTCTAATTTCTCTGATGTTTTAATCTATGAATTAACCCAGGGTTTTTCAATGGAAAAACATGCTCTAGTCAAATTATAGATTATAGTTGTGCTGCTAATATTTGAACCTTATCTAATGTTTATGTATTCCACAGAGTTTGGAAGAGATACCAAATTTATTTTTCAAGTAGCTTAAGTGTTCTGTGGAAAGACAGCATCACTTTATGGGCTTCTAATCAGTAATGTTTGTATGGGTGATAGAATTAGTACTGTGTTTCCCCGAGAATAAGACAGGGTCTTATTTTCTTTTGACCTCCGAAATAAATACTTGGCCTTATTTTTGGGGAGGTCTTACTATTTTTGAGGTGCAGGAGACGGCAAACATGGCCACCTCATGGCTGCTGCTGCATTGAAATGTTTTCGGGGAGGGCTTATTTTTTGGGGAGGGCTTATTTTAGTGCATGTTCTCAAAAGCCCGTTGGGTTTATTATCCAGGGAGGTCTTATTTTTGGGGAAATAGGGTAAGATAAGGCATCAAGACAAAGGGAAGAAACCTGAACTGAAACAACAAAAAAACATATTATGGAGGCAAACGCCAAGAGTTGCCAGTAGGTGCAGATATAGAATACAGAAAAAGAGAGTTGGAAGGGACCTTGGAGATCTTCTAGTCCAATGCCTATGGTCTCTGTCCAAATGGCTGTCCAAACTCTTCTTAAAAACCTCCAGTCATTGAGAAGGACAGAAACTCAGCTACAAGGATTCAGCTTATGTAGAACCTTCACAAGTGATGGGTAAAGCAGGACGAATGGTGTAGTTCATCCATTTTTTTGGGGGGGGGGATAAAATTATTTGCGCTAAGTCCCTTTGTTGACCTTTGGTTTCCTCCTGGTTAGAAAGTTTTTCATTCGGAGATGAATATAATGTAACTGATGTTTGTATTGATCTTATGTTTTAATTTTTATTTTATTTTTTAAAAAAAACTTTGGCTCCCTTAAATGATCATCCGAGCATAAAGGGGGAGTATAAATTTTCTAAACATTAGATACACAGATATACACACATACATACATACCTGTGTATGTTTTAATTGCCTCAGAAGATATCTGAAATACAATCTTTTCACAAGTAATCCCTCAGTCCGGAGAAATACAGAGTAAACTTTATCTCCCCAAAAGCATTTGTGCATTATCTCAAGTTGGGTGGAACATCATTTATTTTTGATTTGTTGAAATCTCAGGTATAAGATCAGTTCTCTGAGACATCTTATTTATTCCTAATGTGACATGTTAACTTCTCTTATTCAGAGATTAAATGTTGCTTGTATATTTACGTTTAGTATCTCATATATTTGGGCAAGCAATTCAAAATGTACCTTAATCTCTTTTACTCTCTCCCACCCTCTGCCTCTCCCCTCTCTCCCTCCCCTCTCTCCCCCTCTCCTCCTCTCTCTCCCTCTACCTTTCTCTATTTCCTTCCCTCCCCCTCTTTGTGTGTATCTCTGTGTGTGTGTTTGTATATGTGTACATCTATTCCAAGGCAAAGCTGACAACTATTTATATACTATGCACTGTGAAACAATATACCTTATGATGTGGAATAAATTTAAGATATTTGCTTAAAATATGCATCTAAATGGCAGAAGTAGATTCCCTTTGGTTTCTTTTTTTTTACAATATTCTAATATTTGCCCTAACAGATCTTTCTTGAAACTGTTTACTATATATGTTTTGAGATTTAACAAAGGAAATATTATGTATGCATGTATTGGATGTACAAACCAGGCAACTCTGCATTTCCACTTTAGTATGATAGCTTAGAGTGCTTTTAAAAAAAAGTATACTATAAACTCTGAGATAATTTATTCTATATTTAGGGCAAGAATCCATGTATGTCCACTTACACTTTGCAAATCTTATTGTGGGGGGGGGGGGGATGAATGCAACTCTGTGAAGTTTCTGCACTGCAGTAGCCTAAAGGAGCTTTTTAATTAAGGTTGGCTGTTCCTGCTCTCACTTGTGTAGCTAATTATTTTCAGTATTGAAAGAACTAGCCCATAGCCCCCAATTTGGTAGTAACTTGTAGTAACTTAGTAACTTGAACATTTGTGCATGTTTGTATGTGTTTGTGTGTGTGTGTACAGCCACACAATATATATATGTGTGTGTGTGTGTGTGTGTATGTATGTATGTGTATATATATGAATATACTTAAAATCTGAGAGCAAAATGAAATATCAACTATGGCCTTAAATTTATTCAAGCCACTGTAAAGCTACATCAAAATGGAATGCTAGATAGTCGATAGCTTAATGTAATGGAAAGATTCCATGCAGGGAGAAACACTAAAATTAGGCATATATTGGCTTCCTTCAGTCTTAAAAGACTATGGTATCGTGCTCTGCAGTGACGTATGGTGAGGTTTATTGCTGGTGAGGCATGTCGGACATAGCGCCGGAGCGGCCAAAAGCCTCTTTCTTGACAGCAGGCAAAGAAAGAGGCTTTTGTCCCCTCCGGAGACATGGAGAGTAGGTCAAGCGGAGGGTAGGTGGACTGGCTGGCTGGGGAGGGGGGATCATGGCTGCTCAGGTGGCCCCCGCCGCTGCTGACAGCAGCTTGGGTGTCCCGGCACCGTCTGAGCTGAAGAAAGGGGAGGATTGTTCGTCAGAAGAGGCGGGAGGGGCAAGGCGGTGGAGCACGACTGCGGCGAGAAGCAGCTTGGATGGAGCCGGGACACCGCCAGCAGCTTGGCC